TTTGTTTGCACAAGTTTGTGTGAATTATAACTCAATTTTCTGTTTCTGAATATATAGCCAGATTGATAAGCTATTTTGATATTTGTTTGCACAAGTTTGTGTGAATTATAACTCAATTTTCTGTTTCTGAATATATAGCCAAGTATTGATAAGTTATTTTGATATTTGTTTGCACAAGTTTATGTGAATTATAACTCAATTTTCCATTTCTGAATATATAGCCAGATTGATAAGCTATTTTGATATTTGTTTGCACAAGTTTATGTGAATTATAACTCAATTTTCCATTTCTGAATATATAATTTGAACTAAGTAGGCTACTGTAACTTAGGTTTTCTTGTTTCGTGAACATCAAAGCTTTACCTATCTTATCATCACAGTAAAACTTGTTTCGCTTGACAGCTACATTTCACACTTACACAATAATCTTGGGGGGGGATAGTTTTGAGAGAAAATTACTGTGGGAGTACATGTACAGTTCTGAGTTTGTACATGTCATATTCACATTCAGGATAGACACTTACAAATTAGTACTTTAGTTTGGTTTTTTTCCAACAAAAGCTACACAAAACAGTGTCAGCTCAGTGTCCTTGGTTGGCACTGTCGAATTTGTTTTTTAGTAATGCAGAACATAATGTATTTATAGGTATGCTGAGTTAATTGGAACTACAAAAACACAAGCCTTGTATGAGAAAAAAAGAGAAATGCACCCATAAATGTGTAGCTCCAACTGAGCTTGAATTATAAGCCCAATTTATTGGACAAATATATGTCTAAAGTTTCATTTGTGTGAGAAAATAACACAGTATACATAAACGTGCTTCTTTAGTTTTCCCCAAAAATTAATTTATAAAAAAAAAAAGATGAAATTCATAAACTCCTGAAATCTATACTAAACCTGAGAAGGATAATTTCCATAAGTATCTAATGATAATAAGTGGTAAAAATAATAACATGTTATTAGTCTGGTATTAACCAAGATCTAATGTTATCATCTAGTGAATGTAACTGTGTATAGTGTTTCTGATGATTAAATAGAAAGGCTTATTAAAGTGGTTCCACAACATTTAATGGGGTTGACTGTTAGTTTTATAACATGCCAACAAGCACATTAATCAACAAGCATATTTCAATCTTGACTAGAGTTAGTTAAAAAGTTAAATCCCTGATGTACCCTTGTGAGGCACATGGAGCGAATACTTTCAAACTCCAGTTTCAAGTGGCACAGGTCCCGGTATGGCCAGGTGGTTACGGTACTCAATTCACAATCTGAGGGTCACAGGTTCAAATTCCTGTCTCACCAAACATTCTCACCCATTCAGTTGTGGGGGCATTATAATGTGACAGTCAATCCCACTATTCATTGGTAAAAGAGTTGGCAGTGGGTGGTGACAACTAGCTGCCTTCCCTCTAATCTTTTGCCACTAAATTAGGGACAGCTAATGCAGATAGTCCTCGTGTAACTTTGTGCAAAAGTCACAACAAATTAAACCAAAAAGCACAATTTGGATGAGAATGGTGACTCATTCCTCCTGAATGGGATGCCAATCCATTGTAGGTTAACCTCCAGTTAGCAAGTGAGGTAAAGTATGTTGTTCAAGGACACCATAGCATGATGAGGACCAGCCCTGAACTCACAAGCTATCCAATTACAAGTCCAAATGGCAAAACCACTAAACCATGCTGTCTCGTTTGAGTAAAAGGGCTCCTATAATTCAGAATATAGACTACAGCCCCAAAGCATCTCGTTGACCAGTTGTTCTGCTGTCATCTTCAAGCATTGCAGAAAGATACCTTCTGAAGCTGTTACACACTGTCATTACTTAATCTGCGGGTTGCGGGTTCGATTCCCCGTCACACCAAACATGCTCGCCCTTTCAGCCGTGGGGCATTATAATGTGATGGTCAATCTCACTATTCATTGGTAAAAGAGTAGCCCAAGAGTTGGTGGTGGGTGGTGATGACTAGCTGCCTTCCCTCTAGTCTTACAATGCTAAATTAGGAACGGCTAGCACAGATAGCCCTCATGTAGCTGTGCGCGAAATTCAAAACAATTACTTAATCTTTACACAAGCAGGGTGAAAAGACAAATACTTGTTGGGTATGATCCTGAAGTAGTAACGCTGTTACAAGTACAGATGTAGCAGATGGTAACAACCTAAAAAGAAATCTGTAAAATATAAGCATTATATAGAAATTTCACAAACAATTTCTTGTATGAGTAATTTGAATTTGAATTTTTTTAACATTCACATCAAATAAATGTGTAGATACTATAAATTTCCATCTGTTTCTTTAGCTTATTTGTATTCAAAAGAACATTTATCAATATCTCCAAACATCAGTTGAGTTTGTTGTGATATAATTGCTTGTATTGTTTGGTTCTCCGGTATTATAAGATTACTCTGGTATTTTCAGTAAAAACTAGGATTTTTACTTTTCATTATGTATGCGAATTTTATGTTACCCTACATAAAAAAATGTTAAAACCTTGGATTTTACCAACAGAATGTTCAGATGATATACATGAAACGTGCGTTACAGAAACTTTTGTTTCTATGCTTTATATATATATCCCTTCTTTCTAATAAACAGCAAAGCCCTGTGAAAGAAGTCAAATTTCCTACCAATACGAACTTAGATCTTTTTGGTTTTCTTTCGACAAAACATTCGTGGGAATAATATTTTGTAATTGGTTCATACTTGTTTACTTGTGACTTGACCAATCACTGTAGAATGGGAAGAAACTTGCCTACCACATACAAGCTCTCATTGGTAGAAATTATTACATCAACAACTAGTTAACTTTAATTAACACTGATCACCTCCTTTTGTCATTCCATCCTATTAGAAACACCAGCAAACAATAATAATTATCCAGGTTGATGCTTTATTGCCCTCTTGGGATGAGAATCATTGATACAGCAGTCTTTAGGAAAACCTTAAATATTATTACTGATTCTAGTATTATGTACAAATATATATATATATATGTTGCATCATTACAATTATGTAAATGTAGTATGTGGTTATAGTTGGGTAGATCACCAAAGTAATTGTGCATTTTGTGATAAAAGCATCAAACTAGGTGCATTTGAACTACATGCGATTCCATTGGTAGCAATTTCTGCCAGTACCAAAGCTCCTGTCCATCCACAGCCCTACAGCCAGTTTCCGAGTGTCTTAAAAGTTGCAATTTCAGTATGGAGACCACCAAAGAGAACCACATAATTTTCCTCTTCATACTGTGCAGGCCACTTCCGCAGAACTTGCTTTGCAATGGCAAAGGGTGACTGATCAAAAGTAATGATGCATCTGCCCTGTATTTAGATGTGCTACAACACATCTGACCACACCCATCATTGGCACTGTGTGGCCTTTTTCTGAAACAGCAGAAATAGAACTGTCGGTATTTTAACATGGTCGTTCACTGGCTGACAGTTTGCGTGAAAGGTGGCCCATGAAATATGTTATCTAGCCATGTGTACTCATGTTTGATTGCCTTTTACTGCCCTCCTCCTCTTTTAAGAGAGAGTGATCCATCTGTAGATACTGACATCCGTTTGGTGTCTGCAACTACTGGAGGAACTTTAGTGTAGTAGTGTGGAAATTTGCTGACTGTATTTTGTTACCATGATTACTATGTCATGATCGGTGCCTTCCTCAACAAAACTGGGAGGCTGCAAGAGGGAGATGGCAGTTCCATGAAATGAATCCCTGGATGTTGTGGAAGATGGATTGTTATTAATGTTGTCTACAGTAGCAGATGTCAATACTTTACAACAAAACTTTGGTGAACAAACTGCCTTCTCTCTCTCTCAAAGAGTTCACATACCCCATTGCCCATTTGAGCAGAGATGGACAGCACACGGTCATAGGAAATGCTGAGGCCAATGCAATGTAACTTGTTAACGTGCTCTCTCTTGTGAGTATGTGTGTGCAACATCATTCCAATGTACCTTGGAACTGGAGTTTCTTGGTTGATGTTGTGCCAAACTGATGTAACATTATTGTTTGTTTCTGTGTATTCGTGCTTGACACTGTTGTATTTTAACAGGTGTGTAATAGCAAGAAATGCAGGTGTCGGAGAGTTGCTAGTTTAATCCTTGATGCTGGGCCCTTTCAATATCATGCCTCTCAATGCAAGCATTGTGTTAGGAACTGGGTTCTTTTGGCATGCCTTATGGAATATTCCATCAAATGGCTTCCCCTTGTCAAACGGCTGCTGGCAGATAATTTTTGCTGCCCTGGCAAGGTGAATTCCATCATTTTCATTGTCCTGCTAACAGCTCCATGTCTCTATCAAAAATGAGAAAGACATCTCGTCCCTTAGTTTGAGCTCTCATATCTGGGAAGTGAGCTAGTATTTTCTGCTTCAGCCACAGAAAAGAGTGCTAATAATATTGCTTTGCACATAATTTATCAAACGAAGCAGTTTAATGGGAGAAAAGTGTATAAGAATTACATTTTTATTTAGAACATGGTTCACAGGCTCTGAACGGCCAATATATATGGTGACCACTTTGGAATCCTGAAAACTTTAGACACAGATGCAATTTGAAGTGCCTCTCATGCTTGAATAATTATGTATATATTACTGTAGTTGTCCGCAAGATTTGGTGCTTATATCACCAAATGCACAATTGTAATAAAATCTTGGCTAAGCAGCTGTACTATTAGATATATTTGTGTGTGTGTGTGTACATAGGGTATGTATGTTTTATTTTTTTACCATGTTATGGATCAAAACTTAATTTTCAAAAGTTTAACCCTTACTACTACTAATACCCTAATACTAATAATAATACCCTAGAGTTTTTTATTGTAGTAACACTACATTGAATGTTTCACTTGGAAGAAAATATTTATGTAGCAGCCAGCAAGCTCCTACAGTAAGTTTTATTTCGTTCATTATACTTGTATGAATTTATCATTATTATATTAATATTTTTAATATTTAATCATTTTTCCGTTTCCTTGTTTTTTTTTTATTCATAAAGCTTCTTGAATCAGTATGTCATCAGCTGTTTAGTTTCTACAGATCAGGCGATGATGAACTGCAGATGTTTGCGCTTCAATATCTTCCAGTTCTTCTTGGTACTTATCTGTGTGCTGTAGCTCGCGGCGAAAGGAAGGTACGTACCATTAGGATGCATTCATTTTTAATCCACTGCCTTACCTTTTTGCTGTACCTATTCAAGTTGGGTATATATATATATATATAAATGAAAACCATTATTTAAACTTACTTTCAAAAATCATGCATAAAATATTTTACATTTTGTATTAAAATTTGCTCATTATTTGCAAAAATATAGGTCCAAAGTTCAAAGAAAAATAGTAAGGAAATGGGTTAATGGATCAATGCTGTGTTGAAAAACTTCCAGTATGGTTTATGAATGTAAATTAATTTCTCTTTCAATCAAAAATTGTAAGAAAATAATGTTTAAAAAATAACGCTATCAAACAGGGACTCATTTTTTATTAAATTGATAAATAATATGTATATATATATTTAGCTACTAATAAAATCAGTGTGCTTAGAAGTTTATCAGAATTGTAAAAGAATTAACCAAGAGACAAAGTATACCTGTATTACTTTGAAAATTTGATCCTCTTAGAAACATATCTAGAGTCAGTTGTCAAGATTTTAACCAGAAGATGGTCCATATTTGACAATGTTCTAAATAATCCAGAGTTCTTGGGGTTAAGGTAGTTGAAAAAGAAGAGATACAAATATAGATTATTAGATAAAGGACCAACTCTTATTTTTATGGACACTAAAGAAGTACTTTATCACTTAATAAAGAACACATGAAAACAGACTGCGGCGTATGTGGAAATATTAAAAAATACATTAAGATTGAGCGTAGTATATAGACTAAAATAAAAATTTAAGAATGAAGTGTATATAGGCTAAAATAAAAATATCAGAATGGAGTGTATATAGGTTAAAATAAAAATATCAGAATGGAGTGTATATAGGCTAAAATAAAAATATCAGAATGGAGTGTATATAGATGATAATTTAAATATCAGAATGGAGTGTATATAGGCTAAAATAAAAATATCAGAATGGAGTGTATATAGGGATGATAATTTAAATTTGCTGATGACATTAAAGTTTTGGATGTTGCTGGCTGTGAGGAGGACTTGGATTATTTGATGAGTTGGGCAAGTAAATGACAGATGGGTGTAAATTTTATTAAGTGTGAGGTAATGTACATGGGATATCACAGTTTGAATTATGAGTATAATTTTGTTGGGAATAACCTTAGCAGTGTTATGGAACTAAAAGACGTTGGCATTCTGGTTGATCAGTCTCTAAAACCATCCAAGCAAAGTTGTATTTACAGAAATATTGAATACAAATTTAAAGGGATAAAATGTCATTATAGTCAGTGGTTACACTATTTGGAATACTTCATTCAGTGCTGGGCTTCTTACCCCCAGGAGGGACATTGAATTGTTGGAAAGGGTTCAGAGGAGGGCTACTAGGATGATACCTGGTATGAAATGGTTGACATATAAAGATACGTTAAGATCTCTGAATTTCTTTTCTCTATAAAAAAAAAAAAACGTTAGATGGGGTTTGATTGTGGTGTTTAAGATGGTTAAGGGAATTAATAGTGTTGATGTGTCATCTTTTTTAATATTTATTGGTGAGAATGGTAAGACTTGGGGACACAAGTATAAATTTTGGGAGGGAAGAAGTCATTTTCAGATTAGACAACTTTATTTTTCTAACAGGGTTTTTAACCTCTGGAATGGGTTTCTTTTGAATCTGGTAGATAAAGTTATTTTATGGAAGATAATGGGAAAGCTTAATAAATATTTGAATGATAAAAGTTTTGATTAATTTAGAGGATATGACAGCCTAAGTGGAACAAAAGGCACCTAGGTGTCCTTTAATCTTGTGTTAAATATACAGAAATACATCATAATAGAATGTGATATACATGAGAATGTTAAAATTGCATTGGAGTGGAGAGAAAGATATGTATGTATGAACAGAAATATACATTTTATGGTGTGAGGTTATGAGCAAATGTGGGTATGCTATGATGGTATAAAAGAGGAAAATCCTTTATACAACATTAGGTTGTCTTTAATGCGTACCCTGCCTTTGTTGTTTGTATAAAATGTTTCAACTAAAGAAATTTAAGTTAACACAATGCAGCTTTTTTATTAGGTTTAATATTGTAGTTAACTTGTACCAATTTCCTTTAAATCATGTTTGACTACTTTGTAATGTTATTTTTTATAGTTATTTACTGAAGTCTTTAACTAAACATATATATAAATAACTTTTTTTTTTTAGAATTTCTGGTGTATGGAAGTTCTCTTGCTTGGTATATACAACTTGGTAAGTGGAAAACTGTTTTATGTAACCTAAAATTATCTGAATACTTCATTAAATTATTTTACCTACTATAGTTCTTGAAATAGAAGATTTACTATATATTTATGTGTAAGTAATTGATTTATAGTGTGATGTCAATTGATATTATTCCATATCATATTGCATCATTTTTACATGTTGTGTGTTTACCCATTTCCTGCCCAGCCTCCTGTTATTGCCAAATCACTTTACTGAAGGATACTCCTTTAATTTACAGCATAGTATGAAACTTCTTTAATATATAACAAAGGATGAATACTTCATTGTAGTAACATCTTTCTCAAGCAACTTGAAAGATTTTGTATTTATTGTAGCAAGAAAAGAGAGCCAGTTGAAGTACTTGTCTTTTAGATTCAGATCATGATAAAAAACCATGTTTTTTAATGAGGCCAGAAAATAGAGATTTGCTAAAAATTGTCATGTTTTATATCACAATAACTACTGATTACAGACCACATTTTAACATGTGTGTGTGTTATATATCATAAGGATTATAAATCATGATACCAGAGGGCCTAGATCACAAGTATATGTACTAATAATCACCTGTAAATTTTATTTCATTCCGTTTGTTTATTCACATATAATTGGTGATAATGCATTGCCAGAAAATCAAGTTTAACCTCTCTATGTGATCATAATGCAGAATTTTGGAGAACATTCGTATTTTATCAATCTAACTACTTCATAGAACCTGCTTTCTAGATTTTGAGTTTGTTCCGCAGCCATGCACGACCATTTAGCATGGACCAATCATGTTACGACTTTTTCATTACCAAAACACCTTATAATATTCACTATTATAAATATGATCATGATTTAAACTGATCTATTCTTAATATCACAGCTTCACTTACCTTTTTCCTTGTAGATGTGAGATATGTTAGAAACTTTAAAAGAATGGTTTACATTCTGAAAAAAAAGATTGGAATGTACCATAAATTTACCCCTTGTGCTAGTTTCGGAAACTGTCATAAGACTTGCATTAGAAACACAATACCATTTGAAAGTATAAACAAACAACACTGTGATTATCACAGTCTGTACAGTATCATAGATCAAATAATGTAGTAAAATAAATGACTACTTTTGATTGGTAGATGTTTTGGAAATTCTAGGTCATCACAACTTTCTATAAAAAATAATTGTGTAGAGAAAGAATGAAAAAAATGACAGTGATTTAGAACTTTTAACACACACTATTTGAGTGAAAACTGCAGTGTTAACCTCTTTTTTACATAAGAATTCTTACATATGCTGATTAGAAAAACATATGGTTGGTTTTTGACAAATAAAATTGATGTTGCAGAGAAAATAAGCGTGAAAAACTTATTTTGAAATTTTTTTCTTACTTTGCTTGAAGAAATGTTGACGAGTAAAAGGATATATGAAAACAGTTTTTATGTTATTAATACATTGCCTGTTATTAAAGAATTTGTATTTAGAATTGATAAGTTAATTGCTTGTTGGTTTCAGATATTTATTTATATTAGGAATAAAATGTAAATATGTCTGTTATTAGTTCTCTGATGTGGATTAGAATAAAATTTGATGTAACAGGAGATAACACGGTAGAGCATTACGATTCCTCTTAGGAGAGCTGCTGTGTTTAAATCGTGTTTGTGAATTAGCTTAAGTTGTTGCTTTAGGTTTACTGATTAAAAGAATTGTTGAGAATTATCTGTACAGTTGGCAGATAATTTCACATTTAAAAATATTGCCTTTTTTTCAGTTTTTTCTATGTTTATAACTACTTTCTTTTTCAAATGTTAAGTACAATACAAGTAACTTTAATTAATATGGATGCTTACCAGCATTTTTGTTGAACTTAAGTGAATTGATTGAACTTTTGCAGGAGGTGGTTAATAAAGAGAGACAGTCATTTGCACGTTCCTTCCGCCTGCCCTGCATATCAAAGCCTTCCATTTATCATGAGGTAAGACATCCAGTATGAGTTGTGTTAAAAAGAAAAACATTATTATTAAAACTTACACAGTTTATATATATATATATATAAACTGTGTAAGTTTCAATATATACATATAGTTCCTAGACTCAGTTTTAAGAAATGTTAAATAATTATATCATATGCTCATAAATAAAAACAACAACATATGAGAGACCAGTTCAAAGTACTTACTATTTTAATGGACGTGGCACCATTTCTTTCTTTTGAACCAATATTTCGATGAGGTAGTATGTGTCTTTAGTCTGCTTGAAATTTCATATTTTTTTAGACTAAAATACATCATAATTACAAAGCTAGATAAATTATAGTTCAATTCTATGATATTAATGTAGTAATTTAGGATTTTTGAGTTATTCTTTGTTATTCAAATGTATATATATATAAAACCTAAAAAAAATATTTTCTTTCAAATCCTCCAAATGCAATTTTTTTAAAAGGCTTAGCAACCGAGTACAAAGGTTGTAACTAGAAGAAATAATTGTTTGCTTTACTTTTTTATTTACTGTTCTATAAGTTTAAGAACTTATTTCTAAATAGCAGTAATCTATATACATATATAAAGTATAATAATTGAAATGTGACTGTATTTTTACAAAATACTAGTCTACTAAAACACACCCAAGACAAGTTACTTTGCACAGACCAAAGGTCGGTTTTATATTTTTTGATGTTTACTTCATTACATAAGGTTGATCCTGAAATAGGCTTTGCATGATGATCATGACAGAAATATGAGATCTTGTCAAATTCAGAATTGACATTTCAGTGATCAGTTGATTAAAAGATGAAGATCTTGAATTGTGAATAGTAATATTTAGTGTGTGTGTGTATAATTTGAGCTGTAGAATTTGCATTATGTTTTGAAAAATCATGACATACCTCAAAATTCTCATGAAATTCACTTCATGAAAATACAGTTAAGTACAATTTAGATTTGTTCTTTGTTGAATTATTCAAAATGTAAGCATCACAAATTTCATTTAAACATATTGGAGCTGAAATTCTCTCAATCCGTTTCTTTATATCATTTTTAATTTGTGTTTAAAATTGACCATTTTTTTTAATTATTGTGATAACATAGCTATAAGAGAATCATTACTAGCTAGTTTTTTTTATCCGATGAATTTGAAAAACAGTGTACAAACATACTTATTCGTGAAGCATAGGTGGTATGAGAAGTTGTTCTCAACTCTCATATTTTAACTCTAAATTAGGTTGAGTTCAAAGCTGTATATTGCATTAATTTCAGATTTTTCTTACAGTAATCTTCCAAGTTTTATTATATGTATGAATAAACAAATTTATGTTGCACTATTTATATCAGTAAACCTAAAGTTTAATAATAAAATTGTAGATTGAAAATATTTGTAAAAATGTTTCACCTTTAATGTACTCATGAAAATCAAAATAACCTTATCTAATCCTCATCTGATAATTTTTGATCCTTGTAGCCAATCAGCTCTTCCCATTCTTTGCTCACTGAGCATGCTCTCTCAAAGCATGAACATAGAGAACCCCATTTTGTTACAACTGGATCTTGTTCGGAAGTGGAGAAGATTAATGCCAGTAACAGGTAGAAAGCTTGGTTTCTTTAAAGAATGATTGTTTGGATTCACAACTTTCTGATATGGTACCTTACCTCCTCTCACATATTAGCTATTCTCATTCAATTCTGCCCTCTATATTCAAAAATTGTTAGCATGCCACAAGCCTTTAAATTCCCACCCATCTCCCAATCAACATTATTCACTGCATCTTTGCATGTAAATCATCATGCAGCAACCCTCCAACAATAGGAGTCTGACACACGCACTCCTGACGCATGTGACTCCCTCTCTTCGATTCTACCTAACCATCACTTCTCGTCAGGCAGTGGTCTTGTGCAGATGTTTCATATATCGCAAATGTTTTTCCTTTTCAAAGTAGTGCTTTCACATTTTTATTTTTTTTCTACAGTTTCTTCACTGTAGTTTATCGTTAGTAAAACTTACCTTTATTTTGTTTTGTTTTTTCTTGCTTTTTATCACAGTCGATTATGAACTCAGAATTTTGTGTCATGACTTTAGTTACTGTTAACACTATTTTGACTGTTGTGACACAGGCTTCAGGTGTGGGTGTCTCGGCTGGGGATTTTTCGGTTATCGTGTGCAGGGAGTTGAATTTTATGTGTCTTGTCCCTCTTTTCCCAACAGTGTACAGGATCCTCCTGTCCCTGTTGAGCCTGATTAATAAGATTTCGATAGCCTTTTTTTTTTCAATGCCTTTACCTCTCCAGTAGAAACTGTTAGGCCTACCTCAGTCTTTACGGATATGTTTTCTGAAGTTTGTTACATTTTTCTGTATCCCTAGTTTCGAATGATCCTGTCCCTCAAAAGTTACATGCTGCCCCATCATCCGATTACCTTGACTTCCTTCCTTCTACCAAATTTAGGGTACATGCTGTGTATTTTGTTTTGCCAGTTGAAGGTTGGTGCCAGCATGCCTTTTCGTCCACCATGGGCTTCTGATCATTATGCATTGGTTTACTTATCAGGCCTTTGATCCCTTTCTTGACTTCCAGCAGTCAGTTGTTGTGGTTGAATTCTGTATGTTTATCCCTGACCTCTCTCATTTACATATATCTTTGTGACCGTGGATGGCTCTTTTTCTCCATAACTCTCTTTTTGGAGATATTCTGAATCTTTGGAGTCACAAATGGAATTTGTGAGACAACTTGGTTGCTCATTTGTTTCATCCTGCTCCCATACCTTACTCTATGCCTGTTTTCCATGCTTCACCCTCCCAGCCTTTTCCTGTTCCTTACTCCAAGGGTCTGTCAGTTGTACTCTTCGCCACCAACAGTTCTGGTGGCATTTGGCCCAGTAGGGGCATGTTTGTCTAATTAGTTTACCTGTGATGGGAGTTTACTTATGACCCATGGATGTTCAGAGGTTTCTCATATGGACTTTTTCTTCATTTCCTCACCTCTCATCCTTTATCTCCAGTTCCAATATCCTTTCCATTACCTCTGGATTCTGCTACCAGTCAATGTTTAAACTGTTCTGTCACTATGTACTATTGGCCAGCCTTCCCCAGGTTTTTACTCCAGGCTTTTTGTCATTCCTAAGGAGACTGGGGACTGGCATCCTGTGATCACTCTCTCCCACCTTAACCAATTTCTGGATCTTTCCTGCTTTACCATGGAATCTTTTCTTACCCTTCCAGGCTTTTTCTCCAGATCTGTAAGTTTGTACACTGTTAAGGCAAATACTAGAAACTTTGTCCATAAATCTTGAGCAGAAACCGAAACATAAATACTTTATAATGAAAAAAGCAATTATATTCAAGGTACACCAAAAAATGTAATTTGTATGCTTTTCAAAAACATGTGTATAGTTGAATATCTGTTTGTAAAAACACCAGCTGTAGAAAAAGGAAAAAAAAACATGTGTATAGTTGAATATCTGTTTGTAAAAACACCAGCTGTAGAAAAAGGAAAAAAAACATGTGTATAGTTGAATATCTGTTTGTAAAAACACCAGCTGTAGAAAAAGGGAAAAAAAAAACATGTGTATAGTTGAATATCTGTTTGTAAAAACACCAGCTGTAGAAAAAGGGAAAAAAAACATTTTAAAAAACAATTCAAATTGAAAGTTCTAAAAATAAG